ATAAGTCCTGGGGATGTAATATACAGCATGGCAACTGTAGTTAATAATATTGTATTGAATATTTGAAAGTTTCTAAGAGAGTAGATCTTAACAGTTTTCATCAAAAGAAAAAAATGTGTAATTATGTGTGGTAATAAATGTTAGACTTTTTGTGGCAATTGTTTCGCAATATATACACATATCAAATTATTATGGTGTACACCTGAAACTAACATAATGTTATATATCAATCATATCTCAATTTAAAAAATTGTGTTCCCACCCCCAAAAAAGAAGAGTTTTTCATATATTACTTTCTAGAAGTGTTATTGCTTAATTTGTACTTTTAGAAGTAGTTGCTTCATTTGTTCGCCATCGAGGCCCATGATTCTTTTTTTTTTTTTTTTTTTTTTTTAAGTAGGCTCCACATCCCAAATGCAGGGCCTGAACTCACAACCTTGAGATCAAGAGTTGCATATTCTACCCACTGAGCCAGCCAGGCACCCCGTGTTTCCCATCAAGATATCTAACAATATTTATTGAAAAAACAGACCTTTCACTACTGTTCTACAGAACTTTTTTTTTTTCCTTTATCAAGTATCCACATGAATGTGTTCTATTTACGGGCTGTCTTCTGGCCAATTGTTCTATTTTTCTATACTTAGATCAAAAGAACACTCTCTTAATACTGTATATATGTCTTGATATATGATGAGAAATTCTACTTTCCCTTATTATTCTTTGAAATTCTTGTGTATTCTCATGGTCCTTTGTGAATTTAAATTTACTGTGTATTTGTTTTTTATGTGTCCTACCTTTTCTGTGTTCTCTTTTCTCCTTTTGAATTGATTGTTTTATTATTATTTTCTGTCTTTTAACAGATTGGTATTAATTTCTTCTTTATTCTTTAAGTGCTTTATCTATAGCTTATTTTATTCACTCTTGACTTATTAGTGTCTACTGTATGTTAGTACTTTATTCTTATTCTGGACAATGAATAGAGAACATTTTACCTCAATTCAATCCCATCTCTCCTGACTTATGTGCTATTTTTGTTCATGTATTTTAATTCTCCTTACATTTTAAACCCCCAAGTACATTGTCATTACTGTTTTATAACTGATTCAAATTTCTTGCTTTCTAATGTCCTGCAACTCCAAGCTTCCAGCTGGGATCTTTTTCCTTCTGCCTACAAGAAATACCCTTTATTATGTCTTTTAAGTGGATTTGCTGGTGATTAATTTTTTTCAGGTTTTTTTCTGAAGATATATTTATTTCACCTTATTTTTGTTTGGTATGGAATTTTAGGTTGGTCATTGCTTTCTTGCACTATGTCAAAATTATCTTTTTAAAAATTTTTTAATGTTTATTTTTATTTTTGAGAGACAGAGCAGGAGCAGGGAGGGGCAGAGAGGAGACACAGAATCTGATGTAGGCTCCATGCTCTGAGCTGTCAGCACAGAGCCTGATGTGGGGCTTGAACCACGAACTGTGAGATCATGACCTGAGCTGAAGTCAGATGCTTAACCAACTGAGCCACCCAGGCACCCCCGAATTATCTTTGTTGTCTCTGGCTGCCATTGTTCCTATTGCAAAGTCACAGCTATCTATCCAATATTTGTTTCATTGGAGTTAATGTGTCTTAAAATCTTCATAAAGAGGGGCGCCTGGGTGGCGCAGTCGGTTAAGCGTCCGACTTCAGCCAGGTCACGATCTCGCGGTCCGTGAGTTCAAGCCCCGCATCGGGCTCTGGGCTGATGGCTCAGAGCCTGGAGCCTGTTTCCGAATCTGTGTCTCCCTCTCTCTCTGCCCCTCCCCCGTTCATGCTCTGTCTCTCTCTGTCCCAAAAATAAATAAAAAACGTTGAAAATAAATTTAAAAAAAAAAATCTTCATAAAGAGATAATTTTCCTTTGTCTCGGACTTCAGCAGTCAGTTCTTATGTGTTTAGTATGATTTTCTTTCTTATATTTATCCTGCTCATTTTTTTAAATACAAAAACCCTCAGTTTTAGAAATGTTTCATGTATGAGCTATTTATAAATGCAAGAAATTACCTGAAGCTTAGCAGAAAAAACCAAAATACATTTATTATCTCATATAGGTTGTGTAGGTGAGGTATCCAGGAGAAGTTTGGCTAGATGTTTCTAGCTGGATGTTTCATGAGATAGCAGTCAGGAGACTTACCAGTACTGCAGTTATTTGAAGGCTTGACTAGGGTTAAGGATCTATTCCCAGGGTGTCTCACTCAAATGCTTAGTAAGCAAAAAATGCTGGTCATTAGCAGATAATCTCAATGTAATGTCACGTGGGCCTCTCCATAGGGCTAGCTAAGTGCCCTTACTGGCATGGCAGCTGGCTTCCACTAAAGCAAGTGATCCAAGAGACCACAAGATGGAAGGCACAGTGTGTTTCATGACATAGTCTCAGAAGTCATACTCCCTCATTTCTATAACACCCTACTGGTTATATATTCAACTACATTCAGTGTTGGAGGGGACTACATGAGTGTGTTAATAATAGTGAGAGACAAGAATCACTGGAGCCCATCTTGGTGGCAGGCTACCACATTCCGCCCTCTTTTGCTCTCAGATGCAAAACATACTCATTCTCAAAAGATTCATCTCATTACACCATGAGTTCAAAGTCCAAAATTCTATATCTAGATCAGGTCCAGGTGTGCATGAGTCATGAGTGTAGGTTCTTAATACAATCCCCTTGAGTACTGCTCCTTTTCATTTGAAGTCATGTGAACTACAGAGGCAAGTTATCTGCCCCTTCCATGCCAAACATAGAATGGTTGGTATAGCAGAGGATAACTGCTATACAAGCTCTTGTTCAGAAAGGAGAAAATGAGCACAACACATGGTCCACAGCAATTCTGAAATCTCACTGGGCAAAGTTTAGAAGATCTCTGATTAGAACTCATTTCCACTCTTGCACAGACATGATTCACATTGTTTCATGGCTCCTCCATTTGGGCTCCCGGCTCTTAAATTTGAGTTATCTTTCTTTTTTTTATTTTTTTTATTTTTTTTTTTAATTTTTTTTCAACATTTTTTATTTATTTTTGGGACAGAGAGAGACAGAGCATGAACGGGGGAGGGGCAGAGAGAGAGGGAGACACAGAATCGGAAACAGGCTCCAGGCTCCGAGCCATCAGCCCAGAGCCTGACGCGGGGCTCGAACTCACAAACCGTGAGATCGTGACCTGGCTGAAGTCGGACGCTTAACCGACTGCGCCACCCAGGCGCCCCAAGTTATCTTTCTTTTTTATGAAACATACCACTATTTTTGGTCACACGATATCCTCAGTTTGCTTCCTGCTTATAAAAGTTTCAGAATCCAAAGGCTCTTTTCCTTGTTACTGTCTCTGATTCTTTAAGTTCAAGTTAATGGTGTTTCTGCCAATACAAATATCTTTATAACTTTGTGGCTATGATGTGGATGCTATTGGAATTTACTCCATTAGACAGAAGACACACCACAAATCTCTCTGAGGTAAGCCCTTCTTTACCTTTGGCTTCTGCTGATACTGTTGAGGGGAAACACACTTAAGTTTCATATAACCCCTATCTTCTGACTGAATGTCACTAAGACATCATCTGAGACCTTCAAAAGGTTTTTAGAGTAATACTTTTAAGTCCATTGTTAGGTCATGTTTTTTTAAAGTGCCTTGAATTTGAACCTTGCTAGGAAGCTATTTCTTAATTTTAGCATTTTGTGTCATTTGGAGAGGCTGGGAGTTTTTAATTCAATGATTTCTGACTCTTCTCCCCCAGATTTTAAAAATATTTTACCTTTGGCTTATGTCTCCCCTCTTATATTTTACTATAAGAAAAAAGATACAGAAGTGCTGTTCATAGGGGCACATGTACCCCAATGTTTATAGCAGCACTATCAACAACAGCCAAATTATGGAAAGAGCCCAAGTGTCCATCAACTGATGAATGGATAAAGAAGATGTGGTATATATACACAATGTAATACTACTCAGCAATGAAAAAGAATGAAATGTTGCCATTTGAAACAACCTGGATGGAACTAGAGGGTATTATGCTAAGTGAAATAACTCAGTCAGAGAAATATGGATATCATATGTTCTCACTCATATGTGGAATTTGAGAAACTTAACAGAAGACAATGGGGAAAGGGAAGGAAAAAAAAAAGTTACAAACAGAGAGGTAGCCAAACCATAAGAGACTCTTAAATACAGAGAACAAACTGAGGGTTGATGGGGAGGGCAGCAGGAGAGGAAAATGGATGATGACCATTGAGGAGGGCAGTTATTGGGATGAGCACTGGGTGTTGTATGTAAGTGATGAATCATGGGAATCTACTCCCGAAGCAAAGAGCACACTATATACTCTTTAGTATATACTCTTAGTATATATACTTTATATATACTTTATATATACTTTATAAGTATATATATATATATATATATATATATACTTAGTATATATACTTTATAAGTATATATACTTTAGTATATACTCTTAGTATGTTAGCTAAGTTGAAAATAAATTCTAAATAAATAAATAAATAAATAAATATTTTTTTAAGAAGAAAGAAGGCACTCTCAATAGTTTGCCTGAAAATCCTCCTTAGCTGGATCACATAGCTCTTCTGGTATATTTTCTAACTCCCATGTTACTATAGGCAACTGTTTGCTAAACTTTGTTTCCATACAACTAGACTCCACTTTTTTCAACATTCAGGAGACTTTTTTCTCACTTTCATTTAAGTCCTCACCTGCTGTCTCCTTGAAGGCCATCAGGCGTCTATAACAAACACATAAAGGGTCTTCATGCTTTCCCTAACCCAGGTACCACTGACTGCCTAGTTCCAAAGTTACTCCATATTTTATGTTTTTGTTATAGCAAGACTCCACTTCCAGGCTCAGCTATCTGTATTTGTTGTTTTTTTGTGCATAGCAAATCACTCCAAACTTACTTATAATTCAATCAACATTTATTATTTCATATAGCTCATGTAGGTGAGAAATTTCAAAGTGGCTTACCTTGCTGGGTTTGACTTGGGGGTCTTTCCTGAGGTTATATATAAGATGTCAGCCAGGAATGTTGTTATCTGAAAGTTTAATGAGGCTTAAAAGACCTGCTTCCAAGGTAGCTTACTCGTGTCTGCCAAGTGCACACACTGGTTGCTGGCTGTGGACCTCAGTTCCTTGCCACATGGGTCTCTCCATAGGGCTGCTTGAGTGTCTTCAAGACATGGTAGTTTCCCTGAGAAAACAATCTGAGGGAGCAAGAGAGAAAGCTCATGTCTTTTCTGGCCTTGCCTTGGAAGTCACACTCCCTCATTTCCAGCGTCTTATTGTTATACAACTAAGCCCTCTACATTGTGGGAGGAAGCTACACATGGGAGGAGAATACCAGAAGGTGGACATCAGCGGAGATTGCTCTGAGGCTGGGGAGCACTTTTCACCTTGGGAAAATCTCAGCTGTGATCTCTCCAAGCACTGTTTCTATCCCATTCTCTCTTGCCTCTCTTTCTGGAATTACAACCATAATTATGCATATATTAGACAATATGTAATACCTTTTCACTTTATTTACTATGCCTCCTATATTCTTCTATACATTTGCACCCTTTTGCCTCTCTGTACCTTATTCTTTTTTAAAAATATTTTATATTTAAGTAATCTCTACACGCAATGTGGGGCTCGAACTTAACGATCCTAAGATCAAGTGTCACACGCTCTACCAACTGAGCCAGTCAGGCGTCCCTCTGTACCTCATTCCTGATGCTTTCCTCTGACTTATCTCACAGTTTACTAATGCATTTACTAATTCTTTTCTTCTTTTAAATGACTCAACTATTTTACTCTTTATTTTTTCTTATTGCTTTCCTGATTATGCAGCTTTTGCTCATTGAGTTTACCACAGAGATTACATTATCCACTCTAGACTGATTAGAGTCTCTCTGCAATTAGTAATTTTAACTCATCACAAACAATGAAAGAACTTTACACATTTTAAATCATTTTGTTGTCATAGTTTTCATTCTCTATATATTTTAAGCCCGAAGAATTATTATTATCATTTTGTAAAGGCAACATTTATTTTTATACAGCCACATATTTATCCTTCTCGGTACTATTATTCCTTTCTGCATTTCTGTTCTTCCATCTGGGCCATTTTTCTCTTCTCTGAACAACCACCTTAGGTATTTCTTTAAGTGAAAGTCTGCCCGCAATACATTCTCTCAGCTTTTTTGCTGAGGGAGGGGAGCTGCTGAAAATGTCCTTCTTTTGGTAACTTTGTTACTTTGCTTTACTTTTGAAGGATATTTATGCTGGTTATAGAATTTTAGCATAATTTTTTTTAATGTTTATTTATCTTGAGAGAGACAGAGAGTGAGTGGGGAAGAGGCAGAGAGAGAGGGAGACAGAAAATCCCAAGCAAGCTCTGCACTTACAGCGTGGAGCCTGATTCTGGGCTCAAACTCATGAACCCATGAGATCATGACCTGAGCCAAAATCAAGAGTTAGTCACCAAACCGACTGAACCACCCAGGTGCTCCTAGAATTCTAGCATAAGTTATAGATAGTTTCAACAGCTTAAAGGTATCAATCTATTGCCTGCTGACTTCCACTGATTCCATTGAAAAGTCAGTTGCTGCTCCTTTGAAAATAACATCTTATTTTTCTCAGTTTGCTTTTATGATTCTTTTGAGGGGGGGAGCTGCGGGAGAGTCTTTGACTATGATGATCCCAAGCATTACATTCTTTGTGATTATTCTACCTAGGATCCTTGCACCTTCTTATATGTGATTTTATACCTTATATCAGTTTTGGAAAAATCTCAGCCAATATTTTTTGAAATATTGCTACTATTCTATTCTCTCCTTCCCTTCTGAGATTTACATACAGTTAGAACATTTCACCATGTTCTATATATTCTTATCCTTGTTCTGTATTCTTCATTCTTTTCTCTTTGTACTTTAATCTTGATACTTTCTACTTATATGACTTCTAGTTAAACTGTTTTGATGTGTTTAATCTCTTATTAAAGTCATGCATTTGTTTCTTGATTTTAGTTATAATTTGTTTCAGTTCCAAATAACCAATTGATCCTTTCAATAGGCTTTAAGTACCAGTTGAAATTCTCCATATTTTTCACCATTTTCTTAACTATATTAATTATTGTTATTTTAAGTTCTCTGTCTGATAACTCCAGTATATGAACCATCTGTGGGGATATTTCTACCATCTGCTTTTAATATGGTTTTTTGGTTATGTGGACCTTTTTATAGCATTCCTAATAATTTTTACTGGATGCCAGACATTGTGCATTAAAAATGTAAAGGTTTGGAATAACACTATCTCTTTCTTGAGCCAGTTAAGTTGTCTTCTGGCACATAGATATAGTGCAAGTAGATCATCTTCATCCTGTCTAGGCTTGCTTTTAGGCTTTATTAAAGATGATTTACTTTTTTGCCATTACTTCTTAGATATTTTAGGCTTTAAGCTAAAGCTTAGATACTTAGGCTTTTCTGTGGTTTCCTCTAAAGGTCTGTTGCATTTAGACATTTTCTCCACCTTTACCAATCTCTAACTCCATCCTGCCTCCCTAGCACCCTGCAGCTACTGAATCTCTGTTCAGTTCTTTAGCCTCAAAGATGCTTACAACTTTCACAACTACAACTCAGCATGGATAATAGATCTAAATGTAAATTGCAAAAGTATAAAAACTCTAGAAGATGACACAGGAGAAAATCTAGTTGACACTGGGTTTGGCAATGACTTTTTAGATACAACACCAAAAGCATGATCCATAAAAGAAAAAATTGATTAGGTTGGACTTCATTAAAATTTAAAACTTCTACTCTGCAAAATATCCTGTTAAAACAATGCAAAAACAATCTACAGTCTGGGAGAAAATATCTGCAAAATATTTGCCAAAAAATTTTTATAGAAGTTGTATAAAAGACTTTTATTCAAATATACATAGAAGTCTTGGGGCGCCTGGGTGGCTCAGTTGGTTAAGCATCCGACTTCGGCTCAGGTCACGATCTCACTGTCCATGAGTTCGAGCCCCGAGTCGGGCTCTGTGCTGACTGCTCAGAGCCCAGAGCCTGTTTCGGATTCTGTGTCTCCCTCTCTCTCTGACCCTCCCCCGTTCATGCTCTGTCTCTCTCTGTCTCAAAAATAAATTAAAAAAAAAAAACCAAAAAAACAAAAAAACAAAAAACAAATATACATAGAAGTCTTAAAACTCAACAATAAGAAAACAAACAAGTAAAAAATGAGCTAAACTATGAACAAATGCCTCACCTGAGCAGATATACCAATGACAAATAAGCACATGAAAAGATTTTCAACATCATGTATCATTAGGGAAATGCAAATTAAAACAAAATAGGATACCACCACACACCTATCAGAATGCCTCAAATCCAAAAACTGACAACACCAAATACTGGGGAAGATGTGGAGGAGAGTTATTTATTGCTGATGGGAATACAAATAGCACAGCACTGTCCAAGACCATTTGGCGGTTATTGACAAAGCTAAACATAGTCTTACAACACAATCTGGGAATTGTCCTCCTAAGGTATTTACCCAAATGAATTGAAAGAATTATGGTTCACACAAAGTCTACACATGAATGTCTATATAGAAGCCTTATTTATAATTGCCCAAAACTGGAAACAACCAAGATGCCTTTTGAAAGGTGAATAAGCTGATGAACACACTGTAGCACATTCATGCAGTAGAATTGTATTTAGCAATAAAAAGAAATGAGCTATCAGGCCAGAAAGACCTGGAAGAATCTTAAATGCATGTGAAGGCAATCTGAAGAGGGCTAAGGTCTCCAGTAGAATCTTGAGTAGTAGTGGTAAAAAAAAAAAAAAATCATACATCCATACTGTGTCTTAACTTTGATGAAAATACTTCTAAATGTAATGATTAATATGTTTTTGGGAGGGGTTGCATTGACATCAGTTACAACATTAGGGAGCTACCTTTTTGTTGTTGTTGTTGTTGTTTTAATTTAAGAGAGAGAGTGAGCAGGGAAGAGGAGCAGAGGGAGAGAGAAAGAGAATCTTAAGCAGGCTCCACATTCAGTGTGGAGCCTGACACAGAGTTCATTCCTACAACGCTGGGATCATGACCTGAGCCAAAATCAGGATCAACCAACTGAGTCACCCAGGCGCCCCAAGGAGTTACCTCTTTATCCTAGTTTGCTAAAGAGTTTTCTTTTTTTTTTTTAAGATCATGAATAGATTTTGAATATCATCAACAATTTCCCCTATTTATTGACTGCTCATATTTCCAATTTGATATGTTAGTATGGTGAGTTACAATGATAGAATTTTTAGTTGTTGAACCACTGTTGAATTTCTGATGTGAACTTGGTCTGGATGTATTTTTTAGTATGTAGTTTGATTCAATTTGTTGGTACAGTGTGTTTACATCCATGCTCAAAAGTGAAATTTGCCTATAATTTTTTTCATTGATTTTATATGGCCTCATGAGTATTGAGTAGTTTCTTCTTCTTTTTTTTTTAAGTTATGTTTTCAACAGATTGTATAAGACAGTGATTAGTTGTTCTTTGAAAGTTTGTCAGAACTACTTATAAACCTATGTAGAGATGACATCTTTATTGTAGAGAGTAGACATTTTAATACTGATTATGATTTTTGAATGATTATTTGACCAGGTTTTTAAAAGATTTTTTGACTTAAATTTTCTTAGAAAATAATGTATTTTGGGTAAGTTTTATAAATTTATTGAATATAGCCATTCAAATTACTCTCCTAGGAGCTAAATCCTTCTCTTTCTTTCTCTACCTTTTTATACTGATCTATTTAATATTAAAAAGAAAAAACCTTTTGGTGATATTATTTGTTTCTCTTGTTGTTTTATTAAATAATTAAGTTACACTTTTATATTATTGTTTTCTTCTATATTCTCTGGGCTAACTCTAAATTATTTTTAGATTTGCGAGTTAAGTGCTCACTTTATTTTTCATATTTCTTGTGTTCTCATATGAAAAAAGTATAAATTTCCCTCTAAGCTCCACTTTAGCTAGCTTCATGTCACTACTCATTTGTAAGAAGTGATTTCACTGGCTTTCATTTCTAACGATTTCATAATTTCCATTTTGATTTCTTATTTGGACCTTAAGATGTTTAGAAGTGAGGATTTTGTTTCCCAAATTAATTTTTTAAGTTTATTTATTTATTTTGAGAGAGAGAGAGAGAGAGAGAGAGAGAGAGCAGGGGAAGGG